TATTTAATTAATAATTAGTCAGAAATTAACTGGAATTAATTTTGTGATTAATTGGATTTATTAAAAATGCAAGGACTAAAGGTGACAATGTTCAAAAGTTGAGCAAAGGAAGACTTCCAGAACCTCCCTAGAAGGGATGGTTTTGTGGGAGCTCCTTAAGGCTTCTAGAATGCCTTGGGGAATAAGGAAAGGGTAAACATAAACTGTCTTATTTGAGATATTAATTTTATATTCAAATTAGGGTTGCCTTAGGATACCTTAATCACCTATAAATACCCCCTTAAGGGTCTTATAATTTTCATCCCTTCCTCTAAGATCCTTAGAGCCAAAAATTTCAAAGCCTCTCCTCTCTCGTCTCAAGTCTTTCATTGCTAGGGTTTGGGTACAAACCATTAGAGACATCATAATTTTGGTGTTGGCTTTCCAAGCAAATTGAAGAAAGGAATTTTTGATTATTTATAATAATAATCAAAGAGGTATGTAAACCCTAATCCTTGTAATTTCTATTATAGTACCCTTTCGTTAGGGTTTATGATGTTTAATTGTTTATTGCTTTTAATAGAGAAAACTTAGATCCAAAGTAGAATGCAAGTGAACTGAAGGGTTAAGTTCTTTTCGCCACATGTATTAATTATTACCTATAAAACCTATCAGTGGTATCAAAGCCTTAGTTTTCAATTGACTATGCATAATTTTGAATAAATCAAAATTAGGGTTTATAGAAATTAAACCCTACGTGCTTGAAATTTTCGCAAATGGTAGAGTTCTTGAAACCCTATCCTCTACCCCTTAAATCTCGAAAATTTCTAGGGTTTGTTAGGGTTTCCTAGTTTCCTTAATTATTATTAAATAATAGCCTTAAAATAGAATAACTAAAATTGGAAAACCCATACCATTGTTTTCGAAAATTAAAAGGGTAATGGATTAGGATTAAATTTGAATTATTTAATTAATTGTTTAATATTAAATAATTATTTAATCCCTAAATGATTTGAATTAATTTAATTAATAGTAAGTTAAAAGATAAAAGATTAAATCATAATTGTTTTAAATTTAATAAAATTAAAAGTTCAATTTAGATAATTAAAAGTTTAAACCTTGTATTTTGAAAAGTTTAAAATACACCTTTTATATATATATATATATATATATATATATATATGTTGAAGAGTAAGAGATAAGATTTAGAAAGAGTAATTCATCCAATACGAGAGATTTGTAAGGGATCTCAACAAAGATTGTCGTGGATGTTATATGGAAATTGTTTAGATGACAGAGTCTGGTTCCTTGTATACTAGTAAGAGTAGAGATATGTGATCATTTAATATGATTAACACAATCAATTATGTGACTAGTTAGAGATATAAAGAATGTGATGCTTCCATGTATTACAGGTTTAAACAGCAAGCCTTAGAGAATGAGGATGTAGAAGCATCAATAACTTGGACTAGACTTTTGTTTCATGATCTATATTTTGTTGCTTTAATTATGGTTAGGATATGAATTTGTGACACCCGTAAATGTTTTCTGGAAATACTTTTAAAGATTTTTGAAACTCAGGTTTTGTGATGATGTTAATTACTTTGATATTTTCCACATTTTGAATGTTAAATGTTTATGAAAAATACGGGTCATTACAATTGGTATCAGAGGCATAGTTTGAGCGAATTAGGTTGGACTGTCCTCACCTAGGCTTAAACTATGTGAGATAAAGAAAGAATCATAGTGTTTTAGGATCATTACCTTGAGTATTGATATGACTCATATTTGCTAGAATTACATGAATTAGTATCTTCATGGACTGACCAAAGTCTCCTCTTCTGTCGGAATCCAAGGTATAATCGAGACATTTCCTTTGTTAGTGCAATCAGATTGAACGTTTGAAGAAGACCATTTGCAAAGATAGAATTGAGAGAGGTAAGGTGAGTGTTGAAAGTTTGCGAGAAGTAAGAAAAATATTGAATGTTTGAGAATGTTTAGAAAAAAAATATAGTCGTGGTATTTATTTTGATAAAAGAAAATTAGTAAAAAATGAATTTAGGGTAAAAAAAAATGACTAGTTTTTTGACGAAGGAAAAGGAGACACACGTTGTTAGAGAAAGCCATATTAAGTTGTTGAGTTCAATATGCCGAATTAACAAGACGGTGTTTGCCGAAACAATTACTACCAAGCGGCTCCCTCCGGCCAAATGGAGCAGTGAATCATAAAAAACGAAAACACAATAACTTCAAAAATTTCAATCCAAGAAATGTTGCAATGCATACGTGCGCCACATGGAAAGGTCATGATGGGATGTTAGTGAAAAAGCTTGAGATTGGTTTGGTCCATTGGACGGGTTTTAGAACTTTAAAATTAAAAAGTAAAATAAAATTCTAAATAGTGTCAAGAAATTTCAATTTGGTGGAACCTATCAAAAATAGATATATCATATCTATATATAAAGGATCAACTTTGTAACATTAAAAAAAATGAAATGTAGTAACATAATTTCTAGTCAACCTAACATAGCGTACAAAAAGAAAAAAAATATCAAATGGGTTTTATCACATATTCAGAATAGGTGTTTGCTAATCCAAAAAAAGATACATGTAATAATTGTTATGGCACCTGAATTTAGTTGGAGATCCATTACCACCAAGCTCATATGCATCTAATCATGGCTAAGGAAATACACCACTTTTGTCATGATTCTTGAAATACACCACTTTTGTCATGATTCTTGAATTAAAGTGTCATTTTTTAAACTTATAACAATAAAATAGGTCGGGACAAAAGAGTTTTACACAGAAAAATCCTATTATTTTAAGAATTTTTTTGATAAAGTCATATATATTTTTTTTAACAAAAAAGTTCTGATTATTTAACATTTTGTACACATTAACAAAAAAGTCATTTTTTTTTATTCTAACAAGAAATGATAGATTACATGATTTTTCCAAAATAATAAGACTTTCCTGTTAAAAAAGAAGATTTAGAACTTTATAAAAAAAATTTCAAAATAATAAGATTTTTCTACATAAATCTAAATAAAAAAACATTGAAATTATCCTTAAAGAAACACAAATAAAGTCCTATAAATGGTAAATTGTTTGTGAGTCACACACATCTAAACTATAAAAGCATTCATATATGTGTGTTGAAGAAATACTAAAAACAAGAAGTAAATCAAACGTAGTCAGAGTATCTTCTTTCCAGATGAGCATAATCATGTCATTAAAGAAAGAACATGCAAATTACTACCAGAACATGGTTGCCTCTATCAATCCATATTCATTTCAACGGGCCCACTATTAACTTGTCTAATAGTTCCCACGTAATCAAAGATATTATATACATCAAATGTATGTAAGAATATGAAGTAAACATGTACATATGAAGGTTGTCAAGATCGGGATCCTACCTAGGATCGTTTTTGGGTTTGCAAGATCGGAATCGTAAGATCGGGATCGGGATCCTAAGATCCCACAAAATAAAATATAATTTTAATTTTTAATTTTTAATCATGAAAAATATTTTAAACATTCAATTTTTCGTTCAAAAGTTATAAAAACTTCAAAATATTAGTCATAAGTCACAATACAAAATGATAAATGGTAAATTTGTAAAGGGTAAAAGACATAAAAAGGTAAAAAAATTCATTTGCAAAAAAATAAAAAATAAACAAAAAAAAAAGAAATCAAGGGAAGGTAGGATCGGATCGGATCGATCCTACGATCCTACCTACGATTTTACGATCCTACCTGCGATCCTACACCAAATACGATCATTTTACGATCCGGATCGTTTTTCATATCTAGGATCGTAGGATCGTAAGATCCTACTATCAGTATCGGGATTTTGATAACCATGGTACATACAAATGTTTATATTTTAACATTATTACTATTGCTTTAAGGGTAAAAAAGTCATTAGTGACTGCCATGTCTATCTTATAGTTTTCAATACCCGTATACTTTTTAACAAGTATGAACCCTATCCATAACGATACTTCAACTTGTCATCAATATATTTGGCCCCATTAACAAACAAACTATATGTTTTCACTTTTCATAACTTGATTAAAGCCCCTTTCCCCTTGAGTCGCATTTCCCACTGATCTTTGATTGATGTATCATCATTCAATGCAAAATAAATCCCATGCTTTCACTTTACATAACATAGGCTAAAACTGTTTAAATCACTTTACATTGTAAAATAAAGTTTGAAAGACAAGCCGACCTAAATTATAGGTCTTAAAAAGCCTATTTAGCACGATGGTTTTTAAAATGTCAACTAAACAATACAAAACAAAAGCTTGACCTAAACTCAAGAAATAATGTGCTGAATCATTACTTTATATTTTACATATATCGTAACACCATTTTACACACCATCTGCAGCTTCTTTTCATGCCACTTAAATCTATATTTAATGTTCAAAGTTCAAACCCCTTTTTGGATCTACCCCCGTCTGCAATTGCACCAGGTGTGTGTGTGAGAGAGATCTGACCTTGATTCTTTCTTGTTGTACAATGAAAACAAGATTTCCAGATAGAGTTGTACCTTCAGCTATTGAGGTTGTACTCCATTGATCTAATTATAGGTATGCGATGCCAAGAAACTGTTGAGTTCTTCAGGTTTGATTCGTTTAAAACAGTGAAAAGCAAGGTGTGTTGTACTTCTGACTGAAAATGGCCCACAATGATGTGTTCTTCACATGTATGTTATTATCCCATTTCTTCATGTTCATCATGCTGAATCAGGTTTCGATCATAAAAATACCTTTTATTCTTTTTTAAACTTGTGTCAGCCTAATTTTTTGCATACTAGAATCCAAGTTTCGTTCTTGATCTCCATTTCTGGTCAAAACTTTGTTCTTCTGAAGTTTGACCACCATCAAACGTGAGAAGAAGAACATATTCCTTGAATGTGATCGTGATTTCTCAACAGCTGAAGGTATTTTGTTTCGTCTTTGTCGAAACCCAGCGTGATTTCGAGAAGCTGTTGTTTGAGATTTGAACATGAATGAAGAACAAGAATCAGAACCATTATCGAAGAAGGTTTCTAGAGGCTTCTCATCCGTTAACCTCACAATCAAGATATCGACTTCAACACATAACCCTAGAAAAGAAATCTCGATCAACGACATTGTTTCTGCTTCATCAATCTCATCATCATCTTCATATAACTCTTCATCTTCTTCAGCCTTTGTTTCAGCCCTACAGTCTCCTTACATATCTCCCAGAGCCACCGGAGATGATCCATATCATCATCTAGAAAACAAAATACTCGCTAATCCATCCACCATTACTACATTTACTCAAACTTCTACTCCAGAATCCCATTGTGGGTCTCACTCCGATGACATGCCCACCACTTCCTACGACTTTTCCGATTCCACAAAGCTCAAAATCGTCGACTGTGTCCCTGTAACATGTCCCGACAATAATACTAATAATGCAACAGTACCTCGTATCTCATTCTCATTTCCAGTTACACGGATTCCTTTAGCAAAAGGGTCTTCAAGTGCCAAATTGAGGAGCTGTGATATTTACATCGGATATCATGGCCAAAACCCCAACCTGATTAGATTTTGCAAGTGGCTCAAATCAGAGCTTGAACTTCAGGGCATTGCTTGTTTTGTTGCAGATAGAGCAAAATACGAAGAATCTCAGAGCCACGAGATTGCTGACAGGGTTATTTGCTCTGTTACATTTGGAATTGTGGTCGTCACAAAGCACAGCCTTTTGAATCATCTCGCATCTGAAGAAATAAGGTATTTTGCTCAAAAGAAGAATCTAATCGCAGTGTTCTTCGACACCAATCTGAATGAAGTCACCAATGTTCTTGGTCGGAATTCAGATGGTAAAGATTGCAAAGAAGCAATTGAATGGTTGATGAAATTCCATGAGTTTAAACTAGAAGCAACTGAAGGGAATTGGAGAAGCTGTGTATGTAGATCAGTTGGGATCTTAACAGGAAAGCTTGGGAGGAAGAGTACTGTTGCGGAAAAAGAAACTGAAAACAACGTCGATGAAATGCCATTTCCCAAGAACAGATTTTTCATTGGTAGAGAAGAGGAAATTGCAGATATTGAAACCACTCTTTTTGGAGAAACTGAAATCGAAGTTGATGGAATTAGAGGCGGGAAGTTAAAAGAGCCAAATTTAGATATTACGATTGAACCAGTAATTGAAAAACACTCAGTGAAGAGACCTAAACCTAAACACAAGAAAACAAAGAGCTTCAGAAGTAGCGTGGTGTGCATCAATGGAGAAACCTGGAATGGGGAAAACAGAGGTGGCACTGGAATTTGCACACAGATATTCACAGAGATACAAATTGGTTATCTGGGTAGGTGGGGAGTCTCAACATTTAAGCCAAAATCTACTGAATTTGTCTTTACATCTAGGGTTAGATGTAAGTGCAGATTCCGAGAAAGAAAGAGGGAGGATCAGAAGCTTTGATGAGCTAGAAACAGAAGCCTTGAAGAGGGTAAAACGGGAATTGTTTCGTGATATCCCGTATTTGTTAATCATCGATAATCTCGAAACAGAAAAAGATTTACACAATCTGATACAAGGAAACACCGGGTCTTCCCATGTGATTATAACAACAAGGCTTGAAAAAGTAATGAACTTTGAACCAATGCAACTTCAACCATTGCCATTATCCGATGCAATGATGTTAATAAAAGGAAGACGAACGAAAGAATACCCGTTTCAAGACGATGAAATTCTGAGGAAATTTGATGAGAAATTGGGGAGGTCAAGTTTTGGGTTATCCGTGATTGGTTCTTTGCTATCTGAAATTACCATTTCGCCCTTCGCCCTCTTTCAAGCCATCGACCAGATCCCTAAGGAAGCTACATCTTATTTTGACGAACCATTTTGGGGAAACAATCAGTTTCTTCTCAAAGTTTTAATATTTTGCGTTACAATTTTGCAAGAAGCTAAAGGAACTAAAAACCACCTTGCTTTAAGGATGCTTTTAACAGGATCTTGGTTTTCCCTTTCACCCATCTCACCAAATTTACTAGCTGTTGCATCAACCCACATGACTCCATGCACAAAAAACCGATTCAAGAAATGGGTCAATTATGGTAATTTCACTCTTTTTTGTTCTTCGGGTTTCATTAAGAGCTACACATGGAAAAAAGAAGAAGATTCAGCTCTTGTTTTAGTTAAGTTAGGCCTTGTTAGAAGAAGCAACAATCAGTACTCCGGTTCTTGTATCATGTTTCACCCCATAACTCAAGTTTTTGGTAAGAAAAAAGGGGGTTTACTAGCAGCTAAAGCAATGGTTTATAGTATAAGGAAGATAGGAAACCCAATGTTAAACTCAAACCACCTTTGGGCTTCTGTTTTCCTTGTATTCGGATTCAAAACCACACCACCCTTAGTCCAACTAAAGGCTCTTGACATGGTTTATTTTATTAAAAAGATAGCTCTCCCTTTAGCTTTATGTGCATTCACTACCTTCTCCAGATGTAACTCGGCTTTAGAGCTATTGAAAGTGTGCACAAATGTTCTTGAAGAAGTTGAGAAATCATTCGAGTCTAAGATAGAGGATTGGTGTCATGGATCGCTGTGTTGGAAGAAGAAAAAGAAGACAAACATGAACATGAAGATTGACGAGTATTTATGCCAAGATTTGACACTGTTGAAGGCGACATTGCTTGAAACGAGAGCTAAATTGTTGTTGAGAGGTGGACATTTTGATTATGGAGAAGAGCTTTGTAGGACATGTATCAGCATACGGACTGTGATGCTTGGCCATAATCATGCTCAAACTTTGGTTGCTCAGGAAACATTGTCTAAATTAGTCAGAATGAGGAGTAAAATGTAAAATATGAATGTAGATCAACTTTGTAATGATAGAAAATTGTTTTTTTCTATTTTATTTATTTATTTATTATTATTATTATTATTATTATTATTATTATTATTATTATTATTATTATTTTTAAATCTTCAACAAAAGAGAAAGCCACAATTTTAAAGCAAATCAATTGAATACTACCACAACATAAAACACAATAAGAACAACTAGCAATGAAAATAAATTGAGAAATGACGTTAGACCATCTGTAATACCCACAACTAACCATTATAGTGATGGGTGCTGTTGGTATAGTTTCTTTTAACATGTTGTTATGAACAGGAAGACAACAAAATGTAACGGGAAGGAAAAGATACACAAACTGGGAACGAATAAAAACAAAGAAAAGAAACTCTACTGCTTTATTCTTAAGCTGATAAAAAAAGAAAACAAATACACCTATTTATTGAAAAAACAAAAACGTGACTGTGACCTAATACTTACATTCCTAGACTTCTTGACCAAGTAAAACTTCCTAATTAGACTTATCTACAAACTTTCCTTTACTTTCTATACATTTGAATTACACCTGCATTCTCCCTTGTAATTTAGAAAATTTTATCTCTTCAACTCCAAGCAACTTTCAAATTTGACTCTTCCCATTGACTTTGTCAAGATATCATCTCTTTGTTCATTTGTGCCAACATGTCTTACAACTAAATCGCCTCTTTCAACACACTCACGAATAAAATGAAGACGAATGTCAATGTGCTTACTCCCTCCATGGAACACTGGATTTTTCATAAAATTCAAAGCTGGTTTGTTGTCCACCTGTAGTAACATTTGGACTTACTTTGTTCTTTGTTATCATCCCCAATAATCGACGGATCCATATCCCTTGACACATTGCACTTGTTGTTTCTATGAACTCCACACTTCTGTTTTTGTAAATTCCAAGAGACAAGGTTCTCATTTAGGTAGAATGTCATTCCAGTAGTACTTTGTATGTTGTTGTGATCTTTTGCTAAATCATTGTCGGTGTACCCGGTTACAACATTTTCCATTACATTCTTCTTATACTTTAAGTCATAATCAATAATACCTTTGATATACCTTAGTATATGTTTTATAGCTTGTTGATATTGCTTAGTTGGCCTCTCCATGAATCGGCTCATGATTCCTACTGAATGAGCTATATTTGATCGAGTGTTTGTCAGGTACCGAAGGCCTCCTACAATGCTTCGGTATGAGGTAGGATCTACAGGTTCACCTTCTTCGTCTTTAGTTAACTGTAACTTTGGTTCCATGGGATACTTACATGGATTGCAATCGAGCATTCAAGCTTTCTTGAGTACTATTGTTGCATAGGCCGATTGTTTCAGTGTAAGACCTTCATTTTGTTGGTGTACTTTGATGCATAGATAATAGGATAACTTCCCAAGGTCGCTTATTTCAAACTCCTTACTCATTTGTTATTTGAAACTTTTTTACTTCATTATTGTGAGCCCTGGTGACAATGAGATCATCTACATAGACATTGACTATTAACACGTTTCCATTCTTTTTCCTTGTGTAGACAGAATACTCTAGTGGACATTGTTGGGATGCAAACCTAATCCCACATCGGTATAAAGAGAAACTATATGCTAGTATATAAGACAATGGGTAATTCCATCTATCACCAATTGGTTTTAGAAAATGGAATCTTATTATTCTTCTATGTTGAGCATGGTTAGGCTAGTAGCGATCCTAACAAATGGCATCAGAGCTACGCTTGTAACCTAGATGACGTGGTCGGTGCAGGTGGCGTAATCCCCAGTCCAACGGATTTGATCCTGAATCCTTGTATCGAAAGTCTTCCTGATGGCCCCATTTCAGGTGAGTGTGTCTCAAGAGTATCAGCGGTATGAAAAAGGATAGGATCTGATGAACAGTCATTGAAGAGGAGGCCAAGGGAAGCACTTGGGTTTGAGGGGAGGATTGTTGGGATGCAAACCCAATTCCACATTGGTAAAAAGAGAAACTATATGCTAGTATATAAGACAATGGGTAATCCCATTTATCACTAATTGGTTTTAGAAAAGGAAGCACTTGGGTTTGAGGGGAGGATTGTTGGGATGCAAACCCAATTCCACATTGGTAAAAAGAGAAACTATATGCTAGTATATAAGACAATGGGTAATCCCATTTATCACTAATTGGTTTTAGAAAATGGAACCTCATTGTTCTTCTATGTTAAGCATGGTTGGGCTAGTAGCGATCCTAACAAACATATTTCCAAACCAATTCCTTTTAGATACTTATCTAGGCGAGAAATCCATGCTTATGGAGCTTGATGTAACCTGTACAAATTTTTTGTTAACTTGTTCACTTGTTTTGGATTGTCTTTCTTTATGAAGCCTTCCGGTTGTGTAACATAAATTTCTTCTTCTAAATTCCCATATAAATATGTTGATTTTACATTGAGATGATGTATAATCCACTCGTTTGTGGTTGGAGTGTGCCAGAATATTACGTATGGTTTCTATCCGCGCTATAGGTACAAATACTTCATTGAAATCTACTCCTTGTTTTTCTATGTATCCTTTTGCAACCAACCTTGCTTTTTACTTCAAAAATTTCCCATCCAATCTCACTTTATTTTGTAAACCCATTTGAGGCCTGTGGGTTTTCTTCCTTTTGGTAACTCGACTAGACTCTAGGTTTTGTTTCTTTCAATTGCACTTAGCACGATCTTCATTGCATTCATCCAATCTTCACTTTCACTTGCATTTATAAAGTTTGAAGGTTCTTCATCATCCTACAAAAACAACTTGTCATAATGATCATATATATATATATATATATATATATATATATATATATATATATATATATATATATATATATATATATATATATATATATATATATATATATATAGAGAGAGAGAGAGAGAGAGAGAGAGAGAAGTTAAACTTCGATATCTTAGTGGTGTTTCTCTTTCGGATGAGCTAGAACTTGAAGACCGAGGAGTGCTTTAGGTACTTAGACTATTTTGAGGGGTGTGGATTATGCTTTCATTTGGATCATTCAGTTCATATGAGTTTTCATATTGTTCGAACGGGTCGAGTTGTTCTTGTTCTTCACTTTCATCTAGTAAAACATCAAATGTAAATATTATTCCAGTAGTACTTTTGATTTTCAAAGCATGATTCCACTCCCATTCTTTTCCTTCTTCGAACGTCACATCCCTACTGATACGAATCGAGCACGTATCTGTATCGGGTAGTCAATTCCTTTTTGTTCTTTTTTCAACTCCCAAGTGGACCATCTTCTTGCTCCCATCATCAAGTTTCTTTAAATGTGTTACGACCACCCTTACACACATACACACAACCAGTCACATACACATACACACATATCTCAACTATATTATAAAGCATTTTCAACAAATCTTGAAAACTAAGAGGTACAGATTATAATGCAAATACTATAAACATTTTATTAAAAATTTACCTTAAATAACCTCAGTTAACTATATAAATTAAGGAGTAATCCTTCAAATTTCAAATGCAAACCTTTTTTTGCTGTCTTTTCCTTATCACCCAATCTCAGCGCCTATCTTGCACAAACACACGCCGAAAATCACTGAATTTTCGAGTAACGCTATAGATTAGACCAATAAACCCCAAATTGAAATCTCAGTTCTTTGTCATACGATTCTCTGTGTCACTGCCGCTCCCTGGCTTCACCTTCATTGCCACGGACCGGTAGCTGCCCAGACGAGTACGACAATAACTGCTACTCTCGCTCCCTTCACCCAGAAGAGGTAACCAGGTAATACAGTCGTACTACCTCTGGTTTATCTTCCTCTTAATTCTCTTATCACGGTATAAATTTCACATGTTTAGTTTTTTATTAGCCCATTTTTTATTTGTTTACAATAATTTAAACTAATAGTCTGAAGTGATTTTTGTTGTATAGCATAGGATGAGAAGTTTAGATTGGGGAGAAACTTTGTGAGTATAAAGCCTCTCGTTTTTTTTTCATGTTGACTTTTCATGGTTGGTTGATTAAAATTGTTTGATCTTGAAATTCAACAATAAAAAAAACTCTTATTGCAGAACAACCCTGTCATACCAATTTCATCTCTCTTTTTCCCATTAATTCAAACAACTCGGATTTGCTTTTCTTAATTTTTTTCATTTTATGAATTGAATTCTGTATCGATTGAAGAAACGAGTACCAGGGAAGTCCTCAGCATCGATCCTTTAAAGCTTAAATTCCCATGTAAGTTATCTGATCACATCACCCAGTTTGTTTATTCGTTTTCTTATTCAAATATAATGATCAATGTCTTTTTTTGTTTTTGTTCTGTGGAATAGTTGAATTGAATAAACAGATCTATTCTACGGATTATTTAATGAATAATATCGATAACCGTGTAGGTTTCAAGGTAATAAAATTGTTGCTTTTCAGTTTCATAATGCCATCAAATTGCATGAAGTATCTCATTGAAGAATTTAATTAGTGATTTGGCCGATTATGGATTTAGATTATGATTTCTCCACTTTAGGCGTAATGTACACATGAAGTGAATTGTGAATTTTGATGTTAATTATTAGGCGAAGACGATGAATCCGAAGAAGTATTAAGTTCCTCCAAACACCGGAGTATTGTATTTGTCCGAACACCAGAGTTATTTTGCCCCTATGCAGATTGCTAAAAAATTCCATGATAATTAATAACTATCATTCCAAAATTTTGCCAAAACATTTTTAGAATTCAATTAGCCATACCCAAATTCAGAATTTCTAAAAATTACCAGTCAAAGCCAATTTATGTCATTGACAGTACTTTAATTGAATCACTACGAAAAATCATGGGTTTGATCATTCAGTTTGGTCTCTTTCTTAGTATTTTGAACCCATATTGTAAGAATCTAAGCTACATATGCTTGTAATTTTGCATATTTGTACTGCTTCATCAAGTAAATTTTATAGAATAAGTGTAATTAATCTTCAAATTTGTTACAACCAAAGGAGATAAGATTTTATAATTTCATTATTTGTTTGTTAAATTTGTGTTTTGTTACAGTAACAATGCAAAGCTCAGAAAGATGTTCATTCTGACATGCAATGTGAAGACAAACTTCTCCTTCAGAGGGTAATTGCAAGCCCATGAGCAGCCCCTAAGGACATAACCCCTAAAATAGTAAGTAAGAATATATAACCAATTTACCCTTTCATGATTTTCTTTGTGTAACTGGTTAACAATTGAGATCTAAGACAAAGGGGTAGAAGGAACTAAGACCATCATAACTCAATTACTTTCAACTTTGTTTCATATGATATCCTCTTTTACTTTCGTATGGTTTTAAGAGATTCAAATTACATTAACAACTAATTGGTAATTGTGATATCTCTTGGTCCCTTGGTGGGTCAACAAAAAGATTATTGATCCCTTGTACACTAACTTGTTATATTTGATAGGTTCAAAATGAAGTTGATGTCATTACCCTCCTGATTTCTATGTCCAGATTTGCATGGTTGATTTACTTGTTCTATGTATCTATAAATCCATGTATATATATGGAACTGTGTGAGTTTGTATTAATCTCATAAGTGTGTGTATATGTATAACGTTGTGTATGTGCCATAATGAACATGTATGGATTAGGAAAAAGATTTTGTATGCATATATCTATCTTATTCACATCTTTATGATAAAATAATGCATACATATTATTTATTTGTAATAATAATTTCTTAAATTTTGTGCAGAAAAACAGAGTGGTGATTTCATGGGGATGGTGTGAACAATGTCAACTTGGTTTAGGTAAATTATATGAGGAGAATAGTCCCCAGGTTGTAAGCATTAGCCAACATGAACTTACAACATGAAAGGTGTATTATCAAAATGTTAAGAAGTTGGAATTTATTATTTTTCTAAACTCTTTATCACTTTTTGAATTGTAAAAGTCAATATTATCTTAAAATACTCTTAAGCTCAGACATATGCTTTTATAAAAAATAACTTATTGACTTATTGAACTTTTTCCACAACAAAAACTAATCCAAACACTTTTTTAAAAACTCATTTTCCTACCACCATAAGTCAATAAGTCATTTTAGACAAAAGTCTTTTTGAAGATCAAAATGAAATCTCAAACATCCTCTTAATTACATGAAAAGATGAAATTGCAATTTTACTTTTATATCTTTTAATGTTAAAGTAAGCTTTTGTTTATTTTGATTTTCCAAAGATGTAAAACTTTTATTTATTCTTGGCGGCAATGCTGAATGATCTTGTTAGGTAATTATTCACGTGTTTTTTTTGTTAGCTATTTGTTAATATGATATTTTGTTTGGAATATGGTTTTGTAGGTACTTCAAGAATTTTTTTTGGTCTTTTTTTATCCAGAATGTGGCAACTTCGTTCTTGATATAAATTCAATTTTGATGCAAGTGACATGTCATAGTACTATATCGCCCGATTAGTATTACAAGATCTTGAATTTAGGAACAAATATAGAAATGATGATGTATTAGGAATAGCTGAAATTTGATACTGTAATTTATGTTAACATGAGGGATATTTGTCAATTTGTTAACATTTTCCCGAAAGGAAACTGTATCGCGGGTACACAACTAATATATATATATATATATATATATATATATATATATATTCTCTTCTAATAAAATAGTACATTAGCCGCCACGTGGCAATCTCTTAGACCCCCCAATTGATTTTTCCCGCTCATATCATCTAACTGAATTCCCTATATTGCCCTTCCACTCTTTATCCTCAACAAATACGTTAGTCAAATCACGTCTCCCCTAATCACGCCTCCATCGGCTCCAAATTTGTCTTCTTGATTTTGGAAACCAATGCCTATTCAAATTTAAAATAAACCTTCTATTCCTCCATGAATTTTTCTCCTGAAATCAAAGATAACGTACAATATGAATGCTGCCAAGATTTTAAACCATTTCAAGATTTCACCGTTTCATATGCAACAATCGGACACAACTACATAAGATTAATCAGACTCTCTCTCTTTCTCAGTTCCACTTTAATTCTGGCTCTAACGTTGGAAATAATTAAAAGTTTCCAACTTCTATGTGGTAAATCAGCTCCCAAGAAATGTCAAGCATTCATCCATTCCTAGAAATCAGCAATCATTGAGATTTTTTTGATGTTGATTACCAAGATCGGAATGAATTTCATGGAAATCCGCTAATTCCATCTCCTTATTCTGTTTGTGCGGGCTTTCTTATATTTAAAGTATTCATTCTTTATCTTTTTTTTATTCTTCATGGTTATTGAAATCGATTACTTAAAGTGGGTTTTGTAGGTTTGAAGTTTCTGGAACCCTAATGCCCTGGTATATCTATTCTCGCATTCGTTCCTTGAGGACCAAAGAGGTAAAAATCAATAGTCGCTTATTACCTAAATTTCACCACATAAATTTGTATTGCCTTGATAAATTTTTATTTGGAAAATCCATTATACAACATTCTTATTCAATTTAAAGTCCACTTTGTGGTAATTTTGCTTAAAGGCAGTTGATTTGGAACATTACCTACTTCACATATTTTCTTTTTAAGTTCATATAGTTTTTTTTCCTACTTAATATGTTTGTAAATCACTAATCGTATTTGGAACATTATCCATGATTGTATCATCTCATATATTTTCATCAGATGTTGATAAAAAATGCTTTACAATTAAAAACTATAATCTATCATTTTTTTTAGTTCATGTAAGTTTCATATACCATGTGTTTGATAAAATGCCTAAGAGAACCATGAATTATATTTTAAAGATTCAAACATCTATTTCTTTTTTATTGGAGTATGAATTGTATTTTAAAACTCTTTTGAGATATAACTTGAACCTCTAAACTCATAAACAATTATCAATTGCATCCATAAAACTATAACTACATTGTAAAAAACAAGGAATTCAATAAAATTCAAACTTTAGTACTCAAGGTCTGACATCAAAAAGTGTTATTGTGTTCGATTGTATGTTTATGTGACTGTGTGGATTCAAAGAATATGTATCCAAATACAAAAATACAATGTTTCTAACAAATTATTGATTCTAACTACAGATTAATGGATTCAAAGTTAAAGAAATGGATCTCTACAAAGATACTTACACCGCCAAGGTTAAAATCATCAGGAGACAACCAGACTTGAAAATCCCTTCGGAGACCTTGTCCTTTCGTGTGCAAGTTTAGTTAAAGGGCGTTACACAAGCTAATGCGGTTGATTGCTCATGGGCAGAGTATTTTGATAGTTACTTGAAGACAATGAAAGCACACTTCGTAAGTTTTATAAACTTTTAAACTATATTGATGATTCTTTTATAAAAATTACTTATTTTTTCTGGATGTTTAGGTACCTCCGTTTCTGGATTTTTAGGTACCTCCGTTTCTGGATTTTTAGGTACCTCAATTTAAAATTGTATTATTGGTTCTTTTATAAATTTACTCAAATTTTATTGAGATGTAAGTGCTTCTCAAGATTGGTTGAACTAGAACAATGTGTTGTTATGTAACCGAGGAGGTGGAGATCACATGAAGGGTAAGTTAGTCATTTCATTTGGATCAGAGACCAAAACATTTCAAAAAAGAACCAATGTTGCATGACATAATCTTTTGGGGCTACACCAAACCTGCACTTAGTGTCACTATTTTTGTAAAACTGTTACCTGGCTGATTGGTTTTCTTATAATTTCATATTATAAAAAATCATCTCATTCCTAATATATAACATGATTTCCTTGCATTGGACTATATGTAGATCTCGCTAGAGTTTTCAACTTGAATTACCTGCAACATATGATGGTTCGTTGCTTGCTGTTCTACTGGTATTAACAAGTGTTTCTATTATTGTGTGTTGTAGCTATTCTTGGGTATTATCCTTTTCGTTTGCTGTTGTAATTTGTTTTTTTTGCTGTTAATAGCAATGTACTCTATGATAGCTTGTTTTGGGTGTTTTAGGAGCTAGGATGTTGGGTTTCTTTTGTTCTTTTCCTCGTGTATTCGTGTACACAATGTAATGGCAAAGTCATGCTCAAAATAAAAATCGGTCAATGGCCCTAAAAGAAAAGGACAAAACGATGGTTGGGTGTTTTCAAAAATTTAAATTTGTCAAATAGGAAAAATGTTGCGGTAATCATTATTCATAATCAAACCATAAAATGTGACTATGGTTTTCGTAACCAAGCATGTGTAAATAAAATTTTGTTTATGCAATATTTTAGGATTAATATAAATAAAGCTTTTTAATGGCATTTTAAAATTCTATCTAACGTAACATATATTCCATTTAAATTAAATAATATTAGGATTTCACATAAATAGTAATATACTATGATTATAATTATATCAAGTTTTGTAATTAAATCTTTTAGAAAGATAAATAATTTAGCCCAAAATAAGAAAAAAAATCCATATATCTTTGTTATTTTTGTGGTTTAACCATTTTATTCATGTTTGTTATGAAACCAATCCAAGTTTGACCATTTTTTTCAATATTGACTATAACTTGCTATAACAAGTTAAATTAGTAATAATACAAATGTTGTCAAATTTAGTAACATAAAAATTTGAAATGTAATGTATGTATTCATTATAATGATAGGATTTTTTTTGGATTTCTTGGAGATATTTCATGTGGGAATTGATTTGCTACCAAATAAAACGAGATTTGAGCATTTGACAATTGTCTAGATACAAGAGTTGAGAGTTGGTGTTGGAAATGATTTGAGATTTAAGTGAGATATTTAAAAGTTTAACAAAAAAACTTGACTTTAGAATGAATTAAAGAGTTACCCATTATATCATTTAGCATATAAAAAACTTTTGTTAGTACCAAATTTTGTGTAATGTTGTAGAATTGTAGATTTAGCACAAAAACTTTTGTTAAATTGAGTTTAAATATTGTTATTGTTATTTTTAAATCTTATTATATTTTATTTTTTTCTTTAGTTGACTATTTCTACATATCTAAAGTTGAAAAAAAAATTACCAGGACTTCAGTAGTTAAGAAGTTATTTTTTTCATACTTATTAAATACATACAAATGAAAACATTAATCAGATTAATATATATATATATATATATATATATATATATATATATATATATATATTCACAATTCATGATTTTTTTCGAAAGTTATCAAATCTAATTTTACAACAAAATTATGCTTTTATTTTTGAAATATTTATATTTTTATTTTATTATCAACCTTCATTTCCATAGCTAAATATGTGGTAATAGCTTAGGCATTTTGACGATCATTTTAACTACACCTATAAAGCATCAATACTTTCTTGCCTCAAATAGTTGTGTAAAATAGCTTTTATTTCTATTTTCCACAATAAGAGTTGATTTGAAAGTTAGTAAGATCATGTGAGTTTCTGTTTTGAATGTGACGGTAATGTATAAGAAATATAAAGTTATAAACTTTTAATTAGAAGTGTAAATGGTATTTTATTCGTATAGATTGAATTTTCCAATATTATTATTTTTAATATTATTTATTAATTGTTAACTAAAATTAAGTTAATTTATTGTTGTGTTATATTAAAATTTTCTATTGGTTTTTATCTACTTAGAATATTTTACATAATAATATTTTTATATTTTTATGAAATTGTAGAAATCAAAAAATATGTATTAGGTTCCATTACTTATTTTATATAATAATGAATTGCTCCAGAATGGTTCTATAAGTATCAATTTTTTAAGTCCATTTAAAATTAATGCCCGTGGGTTCCATGGGTTTTAACCTAGTATATATATATATATATATATATATATATATATATATATATATATATATAGTTTTAAAATCCATTAAATTATTGAGTTAGCCAAAGCATGTGGATGAACATTTTTTACCCCTTGTATAATTTCTTTTACCTGTTGAGTTACTATTTTGATGATGTATTAGTAGGATGATATGTAGTATAAATAGCCATCAAATGTGAAAGATAAAATTACACAATCTTCTAAGTGTTCAAGAATCATCTCAAGTCTTCTTCTTTCTTTCTTTCATAATGTTTTAGTTTTGTTTTGTTAATTTTCTTTTAATTACATCGAATTTATAACACGTTATCAACACAAAAGCTCTAATCAAGTGGAAATCAAATTTATCCAACTCAAGTTTAATATGAGTCCAACCGGAACACGACACCAAGAAAAGGTTGGAGATCTTTGTATAGAGGATAGTGGTAGTAAATACACTATTCTAAAATCAAAGAAATATTTTTCAAAATTAGTACCAACAAAAGCAGTCATACATAAAATATCATGTCATGCAGACTTGTTAGAAGGAACCGGGAAAGCCAATTTTATATTACTAAATGGTACAAGCTTTTGCATAGAAAATGTTTTATTTTCTCCAAAGTCTAATAGAAACATACTGAGTTTCAATTACATACATTTCAACGGATATGACATAAAAACTATGACCACTATATAAAAAAAAAGAAATATATGTATATTATAGACAAAAAACATGCGCTTGAAAAACTACCAACACTTGATTATGGTATAAATTACACATATATACATCTGATTGAATCGAATATGGTAGTCAAAGAAAAACATTGTGATCCAAGGACAT